TTGTCATATACCAATGATACATCATTTTATAAAAGTTCTCTTTAAGCTTATAACATAGTGTAAATTTCAATCTTTTCAACCACATATTTTCACATTAATCCATCTGTATATTATAAGCAAATGTATTATAATTGATCTTCACTTACATTTGTGGACATTACACAACAATTTGGCAAATTAGGAGGTTATTTAGTTAACTGGAATATGCCCACTATACTTCCAGTTAGACCTACAGTTGGAAATTTGTAAAAAAGAAGTTTTGTCTATTGTATGTTGTCTTGTAACTTTCCTGGAATAATTATTCCTAAGATATTGAAAATGCCTTGAATATATGTTCATTTATTGATTTAAATCTTTCAAATTAATATAAATATATATTTGGACTTGGAACAGGTCCATGGTTGGAACAGGTCCATGGTTGCCATGGGGGCCACAAATTCCTGGGCTACCCCAGATTCAACATCACCAGGTGGCAAACTGAAATCCTCAGGCACCAACAGCCTAAGGGACTCTACTGCCAATGCAGCAATGGACTTCAGCAACTCAGGCAGAGGGATGATGCTAGGCAGCAGGGAGGGTGGTGCACCTGTAGAAATCCCAACTGTTCCCTTGAGCCCAACTTCAACCAGAGGGCCTCACATCTGGCTATCTGCTGAACGGAGCCTCTGAAAACCTGTAACAGCTTTCAAATGACAACAGCCCCTCTCCCGAGCTCCTGGCTTGTGCAAACACGAAACATGGGTAGGCATATTTCCAAGAGAGGACCCCTACCCTCTGGGCCTAACCAGGTTTCAGTGAGACATGACAAACTAGCACCTTCATCCAAGATAACATCATGGATGAGGGCAGCTTTGTTGCTCACTGACCTGACATTCAATGGCAATAGCTGAAGATCTGGTAGCCAGGCACTGGGGGTGGAAACTGAGGGCTGGACAGCAGGACTGCCTTCAGACAATGGGCCCAGTGTCCCAGAGTGTGGCCCGCCTTCAGTTTCCTGACATATCTCCCTCTGCCGTCACCATCAAGATGGTCCTGTCTGTCCCCTTAGCTTCCCTTGTCCCACCCTACCCACCATGCTTCCCTCCCAGGCCCAGGCAAACTCCAAACTCCCCCACACACATATGTAAGTCCCCCCAGTGATGTACCCCCATCCTACTGGGAACCCAGCCACCCACAACACACATGCCAAAGCTCTTGGTGGTTTCAGGGAGATCTAAGGCCCAGTGGGAAAGACTACCCAGATCCCACCAACTCCCCCATCCCCTGAAATAGGGCAAACACCCTAACAATGGAAGGGTTGAGGGAATCCCACTTTCTAGGGCCCCACCAACCAAAAGGCCCAGGACCACTAGGTCCACATGACCAACACTGGGGCAGGGGGGAGGTGGTTAGCAAGGATCCAGACTCCACAATGACTGCAATGTCTGCCATGTTTAATCTGTAGCTTGATGATAATGTTATGTTATTGGAAAGAAATTGCTGCCCTGGATTTAAAATCCTGGATTGAAATGTGTCCACTTTCAGCCTTTGAAATGGCTCTTTATTGACACAATGGAAAGACTGATCAATGTGATTTCTTTTGGACAAAATTTAATTCCACATTTAAAAGTGAAATCACTTTTACTTATCTATTGTATGTGTTTTATTGAGATTCTTCCCCCCTTTTTGTATATTATAGCTATAAAATAGATATTTTAACATTCCTGGTTCCTTTGCCACAGTTTGGAGGTTATAAGAAATTAATTTTACTGCTGTTCTGCTGATTTTTTAAATATTGCAGTGGATTTAATTTAATATTTACCATTATATTCTATTGCAATTGTAGTGGGAATGAACACACTTGTGCCCATGCAAGGAGATGTCCCTGTGTTCCCATTCCTTGCACTTACCAGCTACCCTCTAAAATCTGCTTCAGAAGTTTTAGAGAATGCAGTTCGTATCTAGACAACATCAGGTTGGGGATAAAGTCATAGACAATGGTACCAGTTTAAATATAAAATATTTGTTTAGCAACTCACCTGTCCAACTTTTGCATTTTCACAGACAAATGCCTCATAGAACCTGGGAAATTCTGGTGCATTGTCATTTACATCCAGGACTCTTATTGTCACTGAAACACTGCCAACCTGTGAAGGATTGTCTGAAAGGAGATAAGAATGAATTAAAATCAGAGGTGTTCTGTCTTAGCATAAATTAATCCTGGGACTATGAATTGCACGAGAGATCTCTGGAGAACACACTTCTGAGATAGAGTAGATGGTATTTACTCTGTTAAGACATACATGTTGCACTTTTGAACTTCTAACTTTATCTATATACTAGATATATATTTAAACTAGCCAGTTTTTAATGCAAATGTATGCATTATATTTACTTCTTGGATTGTGAAGTAGTCAAAGATCCCTATGTTTGTCTGTCTTATGTTAAGACCCATAAACTTAATTTTGTTCACTACTAAGCAGTGATTAGACTACAATTAAGCTATTTCAAATATTTTTAGATTAAAAATTTTAAAAAATATTTTATTCTAAAACTAATATAACTACTAATGTACCTTTATACATTTTGGGCAGTATGTGCCACTTCCTTGTGATAGTATGATTTGCCAACATGGATTTTACATGACAGCTGGATAGGAATTAACCAAGTCCATTAGCAGTTTCAACTCAGAAATATGCAGAAAGAAACATGTATTATGGAATGTGGTATCCAAGAAAGGACATAATATTTGGAAAAGTTGCATAACAGAATAATAACTGAAGTTGGGCAGTCAGTAAATTACTACTACTACTACTACTACTACTACTACTACTACTACTAATACATTGACAAAAATAACCATCAGTCAATTGCAAAAGGCAACTTTACTTGGAACAGTTTATATCCTGCAAGAATATCTTTAACACCATCAAACAACATCTGCCTATCCCAGGTCCTTAGGAAGGATTCGATAGGTAGATAAAAATATCAAATCCAGTCTAAATATTTGGCTGACTGTGTGACCAACCATACAGTAATAATAAAAAATTAGAGGAATTAGAGGAAAACAGAGAAAGTAACAGAAAATGAAGAAGTTAAAGTGCTCTGGGACTTTAGGATTCAAATAGACAAGTGCCTGCCACACAACAACCCAGACTTAACAATTGTTGATAAGACAGACAAAAAAGGCGGGATAGTGGACATTGCAATACCTGGAGACAGCAGAAGAGAAGAGAAAGAACTGGAGAAA